TCTTTCTGGGAATCGGCGTCTGTGCCGAAATGGTGGCAGCGTTGAGCTTATTGTAAGCATGAACAATACGAAACTTGCCGTTCGGCTTCCGAATACAAAACGTGGGTGTCGAATGGGGAGACTTGCTCTCACGTACCATCCCTGCGTCGTGCTTCGCACGGAAAAATGCGTCAATGACGTCGCACTGCTCCTTGGGCAGGGGCCATTGGCGTGTTACGCTGTATTCGGTTTCCGGAACCAGGTCGATCTCATGACGCACGCCTCAGTGGGGAGGTAGGACCGAAGGCGGGTCTTTGGAGACGACGTCTTAAAATTCATCTACCAAAGGATAGTACGGATCTAAGGGATTCCGTAGGATTGACGATCCACTTCGTCTGCCTTCAAGGCACTGCCAAACTCTTCTAGGGACATCTCGCCAAGCTTGAAAAGAGCATCTACTGCAGGCATAGCCTCGAGGCGGACGTCGCCATCTTCCTCCTCCGTCATACCGTTGACGAGAGTGTTTAACTGTGCACCATCGTCTACGGTAGACACTCCCTGGATCAGGGTCGACGCCCGGCGTCTTGCAGCTAGCATACGGCGTCGCCGTCGCCTCCGTACAGAGGTTCTATGTCTCGGTGAGACCAGAATGAATACGCATTTTGCGTCGTCCGGTGTCACCCTCACTGTCCGCTCCTTTGGAGCTCCGATGTTATCTACGACATCCGACGAAGAGCTGCTAACCCCACAGACTTCGTCCAGTGGATAACGTGCCACTTCACGCGCGTCTGAAGGGCCGTGCCCAAGATGCCTCGGACTCTGTCCGACCCCGCCATCAATGGCATGCAGCGACTGCATCGCAACCAGAGCAGTGCTCAGTGCTTTACGTGCCACTTCACGTGCATCACGGGGGCCTCGCCCTCGATGCCTCGGCCGACCATGTCACACATGACATGCAGCGACTGCTTCGGTACTCGAGCAGCGCTCAGTGCTTTACGAGCCACTTCACGTTCATCACGGAGGCCTCGCCCTCGATGCCTCGGCCCTTGGCCGACCATGTCACGCAGGACATGCAGCGACTGCTCCGAAACTTGAGCAGCGCTCAGTGGATTACGTGCCACTCCTCGACCAGCCCGCGAGGACCCCTGTCCGATACACCGTTAGTGTCGACCAACTCGGACATTCCAATGTCCAGCACGTTGACCGTCTCGGTTTAGTGCTCTCGCC